GGATCTATGCGTTATATACTTGAAATATGAAGCTCTCATTGCTTCACTATGACATAGGGCCTTCAACCCCAAATGGTTGTGATGCTTCGCTCCCAACATACGCATAGTTATTTTTTCAAGTCTGTGCCACATCTCTGAGTCGGATGGCCGTGCCGAGTCCATCAACTCGATCGCGGTACTTGCGACCTGATGAAATCATCTCACGCCGAAGATGTCGTGGTAATTCCAGCCCCTGACCTGTCGCTTGGTCCCGCCAGTATCTCTATGTTCCCCGGCTTAAAGAGCCCGAGGTGTGGCCGGGGCATAGCAAGATGTAATTCACCAAATCAACAAATACAGATAGCCTATTAGCGTCAGTTTCAGTTCCAAGCTACGGCGAATCGTTGCACATCATTCCATCTGCTTTGACTGTTGTCAAGATTTTAACCCTAGTTCGATAATCCCGCTGTATGCGTCCCGGAGCATATCTGGTTTCTGTAGCGCGTCAAGCCACCTTGTCGGGATCTCATCGTAGCCATAGCAGGCACCAGCGAGTTCTCCGTAGACTGCACCAACAGTATCAACATCACTCCCAAGAGGAAGTAATAGCATCAATCCCTAGGACGAAGAACAATTCAATTTTCTGATCGCGAGCGGGTTTCCTAAACCCACCTCCTCAAACGTATCACTATGCCACAATGCCCAGAGAGCTGCTTCCAGGGTCGCCAGCACGTATCCACTGGTCTCGATATCTGCGACTTTTTTCTCCTTGTACGAATGTTGTTTATGGAGGTTTCTAAGCTCAGCACTTTCTAAGGGAATCGGCGTCCCGTCGGAGAACGGTGTGAAATCCGGATTGAGTATCGCTTGCTTGCGCTTTGTTGCCGTGTTTGCTTCTGCATGATAGAAGCCTATCATATATGCGGTGGCTAGTATGCACGAATCCACGCAGAGAGGACTAGAATGAGTGACCTTGGATTGAAGAGATGCCGTCTTGATAGCCAAGGAAGGATCTCGATGAAGGGCCGCCGGGACTGGGGACAATCTCATCAACGAACCATTGCCGGAAGCCTCTATCTCGGGATTCATGTTTGGAGTGTGGGTCGGCCGAGGATGCTCGGGATTAAGCAACTTGGAGTAAGATAAAAGGGCGAACTGAGTGGTTGCCCCTAAAGATAACATCAACATTAACCCGCATATAACATCCAGGATAGTGCCTACCGATGTCAAAGCATGTCCCCGTTACCGACATATAACCTACTCCAGTATTAAACAGAGCTAAATACTCGCACAGTTTGCTCACCATGTTTCCACCAACTCACCCACCGACGTGCAGCGTCCACCCAGTCAAGTTTTCCTTCGGTGCTGGACAGGGACATGGCCAAACACAACTACTGTCACCGTCAAGTAAAGATTTATTCGGGGGTTATAGTTGGCATACCTGCATAGATGTGTCATCCGTCCACGATCCAGCAGGGAGGGGATTTCCCTAGGACCCGTGTCAATATATGCTTGTGTCAATATATGGGTGCGGCATTCACCTTATGCGAGAACGTTGTACACACTACCATGTCTTTGGATGGTACATATCTTCCCCTATGTCGAAACTGTACACAGCATTTGGGTTGTCATGAGAATGC